ATATATGATGCTGAAAATATATTATTCATGGCCTTCAGGAAAATTAGAAACAGAGAGTGGTAAAACATTAAGAAAATTTTTAATTTCAACTTAATATGTTGTGTTTATTTAGAAGGTAATTAAAATCAATGTAAGTCTATTTGAGAACCATAAAGACAATCATCAACTAGCTAATTATTGTTTCAGAGTTTCAGTGCCCTGTGGGTCTATGTATTTATTTAATGATATCTGAAAGTTGATAATTATTTTAAAGGAATGAGAGCAGCCAGGTTGGGGCTACTGCATTTGCAGTCATTTTGGATCAACACAACCTAAAATAAAGGGTTATATAAGAGATATCTGACTGTTGGAGCTTTTTAATTTGCTAACTTTGGAATTCTGATGACTAAAAAGAAGAAGAGCGAGAGGAATTGGCATTTTATTTCCATGTGGTTGAGCTTTTCAGTTACAGTCAGGCACTTCTATTTTTATTTCTTGAAGCTGAGCCCATTTCCAAGTAGGAAGCTGTAGAATTATTGGTCTCACTCCCAAATTTAGTGCAATCTCTTCCAATACTAAGGCTAGGTCAATCTTCCCTGTCCCCTGCATTAGACCTACAAACAGATCAGATCTCATGACAAGCAATAAGCATAAAGGACAAAAGGTTGTAAATGAAACATGGAACTAGTTTGAGTTGAACTAGAATGGAATCAGCTGCATAATCTAAAGTTCACACTGTGCTTTGATCTGAGAATCTAGCTGATTTCATTCCATGGTATTATTTTATTTTTTTCCTTTTCTTTTTTCCCATTACTCTATGCTCAGATACATAAAGGTTAGGTCTTTGTATATTATGCATTGGAAAAATTATTGTTGAAGAATTAGCCTTGAAAGGCATTGACTGTACCTTAAAAACAAAAAAGCACCCTTTTGCTGCAACTTCCATTAGTTGTTTGGAAACAACTGTATGAAGCCAAGTTTGTACTCCACTGTTATCAGCCCATTTGGTGAGATCGGAATTTGCCTGAATTACTCTGAAGGGTAAAATATGTTGACTGACTTTGCACTGCTACCATTCCAGAAGGCCAGCTAATATCATCACTGACTGTCAGCGGCAGCCAGGCTCTCACGATCATGACACATAGTGGAAATTTTCCTGGCTTCCATACATCATCATGCCTGCCTGGTGTGTGTCACACTGAGGATAAGCACAGCAGGACAGCCTGCCAAAGCACTTGACAGCTCTGGCATACCAACATATGGAATAGCCCGCGCAAAATAAAACACTCTTTCTGAATTCATTCATCATGAGTCAGGAATCAAGCTTTTTATTTTAATATTTCTATCATTCATAGGTGTCATGTGTATGGGATCTATAAACTTTGTTTATAGAAACTGGGCATTCTGGTTTTCATACTCAACGTCATAAGAATTTTAATAAGCATTTGAGAAGTTGTACTTCATTGGTTTTGATTGTTACTTGAGTTTCATGTGTTCTTTCCAGTTCTTATTTATAGTGGATCCCAAAATCCTTCATAACACAGAAAGAAGGGCCTTTGATTTTGACGATTTAATCAATATTCTTACATAATTGAATCATGTCATATTATTATTGTTACTCAGCAATTAGAAAACCTCACTATCCAATTAGAATTTTCAAATATGATAAAATTCTGTTCCATATTCTAATGCTAATAATTTCATCTTTATAGAAGCATTTTCTAAAAGATGCCAAGTATGAATCTTGCAATTTTTTTTGTCTTTTTCTTTTTTATCGGTACCAGGGATAGAACTCACAACTGCCTGCTTGCAAGGCAGGCACTTATGCCGCTGAGCTAAATCCCCAGCCCTGAATCTTGTAATTTATAGAGTGGCTACATTTGTTTTCAAATAACATTCAGTGTTTTTCATTTACCTAGTTAGTTATATCTTCACATCATGCCTATCAATGAAATACTTAAGAACTCTTTGACAAGTATGCCATGCTAGTAGAAAATAATGTGTGAAGGAGAGAATACTTTTTCTCAGTTGAATGCTTCAATACAGTAACTATAGGATCCACAACTATAAGAAGGTAAGAGGAAGAAATAGATCAACCAATCCTCTATATGATAGATACTGAATATTTCTTCTGGGGATTTCTGTCCAGGATATGTTGGGAATACTTTGAAAAAATACTCAAACATAAATATAAATGTAAAAAGTCTTGCACATGATTTTTATTCTTTTGTACCTCTCCAGTCGCTTTTCTAGATATATTCATCACCTCATAGGAGTGTCAATTGGGGAAAAATTGCATAGATCTAGGTGGAAACTAATTAATTAAAAACACATATTATTAGATTTAGATGTTTTGATATGTAGCTATTCTGAGGAACAATTAAATATCTCACCTAATGGTTCTGAAATAGACCAAATTTACCATTTTATGAGTGACACAACTCAGATTCTCAAATCTTCCCTTTTGTTTTTTTAATGCTAGAATTGAACCCAGGTCCTTCATACTGAGCTACATACATTTCCAAGACTGTTTCATTTGATTTTGTATTTTGAGAAAAAGTTTTATGAAGTCAATAGGTTGCCCATCGTGGGCTCAAACTTGCTATTCACCCGTCTCTACCTTCTGAGTAACTGGGATTACAGGCATGTGCCACCATATCTGGCTTCTCTTTTCCTTTTTGTGTGTGTGTGTGTGTGTTTAAATGACATTAAAACTATGCTAAGTGAGGTGTTGAAGACTAGGCTATCAAATAATTATGTTTCAGTTCAAGGTGTCTCTTCGTCATTACAACAGCTACTGATCGTGCATATATTATTTTGTATTAAGGAGCATTTAACAAATATTTTGTTCAATAAACAGTGTTAATATTTCTTTCCCATCATATATAGTTAGATGTTAGTGTGAAGCTGTGAACTCTCCATCAAGCTTGTTGGGAAATGGTTGCAAAGAAGGAATTGTCAAGTAGTTACCTTAATCCTTGTGGGAAGACTGGGTTTACTTTTGGGAAATATGAGAAGAATTTATTTAAGAAGAACTGAGAGTTGGCCTTTCTTCCCAGTTCCTGCCTAAAGTACTCTTTACAGATGCTATTTTCATCTCTTAAATATCTATCTAGTGTTTCAAAGACTGACTTGAATTCTGTAGGATTTTCATATATGTCTTGTTTCAATTCACATACGTATTCTGGTAAAGCTCTTTCCCTAATTTTATTAAAATGAATTCTTTATAAGTTCATAGATTCAAATATTGATAATATTTGAGATGCAAGTATATACTATGATCTCCACCTATGGAGTTATTCAAACTCCAGAGCAGAAAACCAAAATCTATGTGTGTGCATTTTACACATATTCGTAAGTAGAATATAGTTGAGAAGTGGTTGAGAAGATAAAACCATGTCTTTATGTGCAAAACTCCACATAAATAAAAATAATGATGAAATTATGCTTGGAAAGTGATTACTTCATACTGAGTTTTTCCCTAAGCACAAAATGGAAGTTAAATTTTTAAAGTATAATTATTGGCTATACATATAAGAGGTTTATACATAAATAAGTATTGCAATTCTGTGCTTTTAAATAAGCCAGTTAATGTATCTGATTACAATTACCTCTTTTGCAAAACAATCTGGTTAGACTATGTATCTTTTTGATGTTTCCAGGTTCTAGTACTTAATGGTTCTATGATTCATTTTTAGCAATTTATCTGATTTCATTTATGAACTTAAAGTTACATACTTGCATTAGGCATTTCTTAAAACGATTTCATACTATTTTTTAGTAATTTAGAAAGAAATTAAAGAGAGAGAAAAACAGACAATAGGCAGAAATCAGAAAGAGTTCCTGATTCCCAAAGAGAATGTAAGAAAAAAAAATAGTCACCATACATTTTGTTGTTAATTTTATGCTGTAGATATTTTGGATGCTCCTTGTTAACTTTTTATCACAGCTTTAGAAAGACACTCCTATTACTACCCAATTTGGCTGCTTGGTAAACTATGGCTCAGAGAAACCGCAGATTTATAGCATCAGGAAACGTTGGATTTTGAGTGTTACTTACAGGCTTTCTCAGTAGATCAGGTTGCGGTCTTTGTTTATCAGGGTGGGATAGGAAAGAGAAACGCACATCCAAGGGACAAGTAGCACTTAGGACTTTAGTCTGCTGGCTCTATATTGTTTTAATAGATTTTATAAATAGATATTATTTATATATAATATAATAAAATAATGCTAATAATAAAATATTGACCACATAAAAAGATTCAAATCTAGAGAAAATGCCATTCTTGTCTTTTCATTCAGCACCGTCATCGTCTTTTATACCTACTTTCGCATCGACAATATTCCTAAAAAATTACCTTCTACAAGTGATCACTTAAAAGATATTATTTATAAAATAATATTTGCATTGTTCTTTAGATTTACTAATGAATATTGAGCACTTTGTGTTCAGTTCTGTGAAGTCAAAGATAATTTATTTCTATTCATATAATAATTGAGAAACTATCAAATATTTATTATTAGATTTAAGCTGTGGAAATGGACAGAAGGAAAATGAATCTAATTTTTAAAGAAGAAAAGTGTAATTAAGTCTTTTTGGGGATGAGTTTTCAAAATTATTATAAATAGAAGGCCCATCTCAGCTTGATTACTTCAAAACAGCTTCCTGCAACCTCCCACCAAGTAGATGAGCAATTAGTATAATCACAGCAATAAGTCAAAGACACTTGCTGTTCAAACTTGTGTAGTGACTTTTCCTCTTGGCATTGCTCCTAGGCTTTTCCAATTGGACACACACAGACATGTATGCACGTATTTAATCAAATTTCATTTGGTAAGAAGGCAAAATGCCTAGGATTGGCTGCTTTCTGTATCAAGGTTAAATAAAGGGCACTAAACAAGTAAATCTGTGCTGAAAAGAATGGTGGCCAAGCCAGGGATATTCTTATACCCCAAACAGTCATGCAGATGGAAGTCTGGCCAACAAAACCATAAAGCATCAAGTCTGACTGTGAGTCAATCTGTCAGCGCAAGCACAAGGTGACTCAGGGAAAGACTGCATTTTGTTTCCTGATAAATACTTACCAGTTTTAGTACATTCATGTGTGTTGGATATTGTTGGCAAGAAAGGATAAAACTCCTTCATTAGAATGAAGAATGAACTTTAAACAACTCTCTGCAAAAAATCATCAAGTAAGAATAACCAAGTGAATTGAATTTTTTAAAAAAGTCAATAGGCAAATATTAAAGTTAAATACCTTGAATCTATGCTTCGGTTTAAAATATCAGTATAGTCATCTGCTACTGAGTTGATTCAGCATGTAATCATTTTTAAGAAACAACAGCCCAATGAAATGTGCTTTGTTTGCCAATAATGTCATTTTGGGTTATGTTTTTTGAGTGTCTAAATTTAAGGTTTGTTGTAGGTTTCATTGGTTTATTTAATTGTCACTTTAAGTTGCTAGGTTATTTGTTTGAATTTTCTATGTTTAGAGAATTGTTTTTTACATGGGAATTAGGGATCAGAACTCTTCTTTATATTGCTATATATTTTAATGCTCACTGAGGCTAGACAAAAATCTATCCTATTGTTCTACTTACAACAACCTTGATTTGTCACTAACTTGCAAGTTGCCTTTCTTTTCTCTCCCATTACAGTAATTTACCAACTGATAGGCAAAAAGTTAATTTTAACTTTTCATGAGACTCTGCTGAGATGTATAAGAATGGATAGAGCAAAATACCATTAATGGGTAAATTATAGGCTCTCCATTGTTTTTACAATAGTAAATAGGTATTCTTTCGTGGCCCAGAGGAATCTGACTTTTCTATTTAAATGATATAGATATTTAGGGTGTGTTCTTAAGAAATAGTATGTTATATCTCTGTAAGATTTTTCTTGCTAAGCAGTAATTTTTGAGAAAGGAGATTATTAGTATCAGTATCAAGACATAAGACCAAAATGGAAAATAATCCAGGATGAAAGAAGATTGGTTTGTGACAGTGTAAATTATCCTGAAACTGGATATATGGAAAATTGAGAAGAGCAGGAAAAGAGAAGAAGCTATAAAGGCAGAAGCTTCAAGGTCAAAGGCCATTGCCGCGTAGAAATCTGAATCAGCGAGGGAACTGAAACCTCAGCTTCATCCTTCACTATCACAAAAAGAAAAGACTACCATACATATTTAAATATATAATTTATTATTGATGCCATAACATGATAATGCACCTGACTAAACAGTTGAACTTTATCCATATTAATATATTGTCAATTGATATCATGTAAAATTTGGCTAATGCTTGAAAAGTAGCTCAATTGCAAGTAATGTGGGTGTTTTCTGCTGAATTCTGTTCCTTCTATTCCAGATCACATGTTGGAGTGCTAACCTTCAATATCTCAGGATGTGACTATTTGGAGATAACTCTGTAAAGAGGTAACAACTTTACAATGAGGACATGAGGGCACACCCTAATCCAGTATGGCTGCTCTCCTTATGAGCAAAGGAAATGTGTACATACAGAGGCACAGACAGTGACCCTGTGAAGAGCAGGGGAAAGTTGGCTTTTCACATGTTAAGGAGACAGGTGGCAGAAAAAGCCAACACCATGCTTCATTTTGGACTTCCAGCCTCTGTATATACAGAAATGAATTCTTCATAATTAAGCTATCTACTCTTGATTTTTTTTATGGCAACCTAGGAAACTAATACAGTGGGACATTATGTTTAAAGGTCGACTAGGTGAAGGAAGAAATTTCTACAGAACATGAAATACTGATTGATGATTCATTCCCTTTTATGAAGGTAGATTTCACCTGGCCCAACCACCCACATGGTAAAAGAATTTAATTAGGGTGCACATTATTTTTTCTTTGTAAATTACTTTTGGAGATAAAACAATGATTACCCTGAAAAATGTTAGGGAAATTTTTTTTTTAAATTAGCAAGGCTATTGGGTGCATAGAGAGAAAAACACCTCAGCAATGAGGTACCTACTGAGATTCATCAATGAGGTGTACATTGGGTAAGGGATAGTGAGTGGGCAGCCATACACATGTGTTGATCAAGAAGTAGCAGATTTTGCTTAGTAACAATACTTTTTTGGATATAAATCAGTAAATGTGAGTCATTAATCTGGATATCTTGGAATCAAAGTTATTACAGTAAACTCCCTCATTCTTTAACCAAAGAAATTTATATATATATATATATATATATATATATATATATATATAAATTATGAGATATACTGTGATAACATGCCAAATATGATGCCTATTAATGTTGTTTTTCAGTGAGGTAGGAGGCGATGTCTTGTAGTTACTGCTTTCTAGAAAATGAGTTCTTTCAACGAAAGTGATACAACAAGGCAAGATTATTACTTGATAGCTCTGCTACTTGAGTTGATGTCTGCATTTTTCAGGACTTAGATCTCAGTGTCTTGATAATTAATGAGGAGCACGATATGAGGCTTTTACAGTCACCATCTCTTCTGGACACCGAGGAGGGGAGAACAGTAACATTCCTACATGATCCCTGACACTACCTGCATTCTCAAAGAGCTGCCGGCTCATCCTTCCTGGCTTTTGGATGAACTCTTGTTTTTTCTTTCTTTTTTTTTTTTTTTTCATTTTGCTACAGTTTCATGGCTAGAATTCAAATTAGGCCTCTAAGTCTCCAATTCTGTCATTGAAGCAAAGCTGAAAAACTGAAAATAATTTTTTCATTGTGATCTGCACACCAGCTCCTTATCCAGATGGGCAGGCGCCCCCGAGAAGCGGAAGCACCTCTCAGTGCTCTGGGGTCATGCTGTCAGCTTTGATGCTGACCAGCAAGGGACACTTAGCTACTGTTTGAGCAGTGTTCTGAGAGGCGGAAGGAAGCTACATAACCTGATTAAGTATCGAGATATCATTTTAAAGGGATGCTCTGTTCAATCCACAATCCTGTTCCTTTCTAGGAACATGCCAACTATTGGTTAATCAATATTCTGTGTACCATCCTCCAAATCTTCAATTTTCAGTACTATTTTTGACATTGGAGCTACAATAGGAGACTTGTCATTCTGCTGAATATTTTGAAATTAGACATTCAGATGTCTAAAAAAGCAACTCAGAGATGGATCAAAATTACAGACTATCAGGGGAATTACTTCCATATAGTCTATAGTGCATTTTATTTTTAATTTTTGAAATTTGATTTCTTTGTTATTGAATATTGAACTAAATATGGTGGGACTTTATAGCAAGTATGTTTTCTATCCTAAGGTTATTAGTCACAAATTAATCTGCCACAATAATTCATCAGTATGTCCTTTTTCCTGTGAATGTCAGATCATTTTTCAACGGCTCTTTGAAAATGATTTCTGTCCTCATTTTACAGATGGTGATACTAAGGCAGAAAATGGTAAGGTAATTTACTCACAGTTTCTCAGAAATCTATACTCTGTCAACTTCCAATTACAAATCATAGTGCACGCTGGGGCATATGTTGGGCTTCCTTTTGATTAATAGGGAGGAGGCCAGGCTTGATGACCCCTGCAGGAGGCTTCTAGCCCTACAGTACCAGGATCTTAATTCTGATGAATGGTCCTCATGGTAACTAGAACCAATCTATTCCCCTACACTTTTCTTCAAGATTTAAGACAAAGCACATACTCATACAAAATGATATTTTTCCTCTGTGCTAATTTGGAGGGATGGAAAACTATTTCTGCTAAGTATTATTATATTCTGATTTATTTGTGACTGTAAGTTGGTAGAAGGACCTATTTCATTTACACGTTTGTTTGGAAACCCTACAGAGATTTTGGAGTGGGGGAGGGACGTAGTGCGAAGCACGGTTCCAGTTCAGAGAGTGACACGTTTGTACTGGACAAAATAGCACGTGTTCTTCTAAGCTTGCTATGTGGGCCCCAGCGGACGGCACTCCCAAAAGAAGTTTCAGATTTTTACCAACATTAATTAAACAAGTTGCACATTTCCCAGTAGAGTCTGTGAATAAGGTGTGAATTTAAAAAATAGTTTTAATTAACAAAATGATTTTGTGTTGTCTTATTTGTTAAACTTGTTATTTTAGTTTTAATACAGTACTGTGATTCTGGATACATTGGGCAAACAATAATTTCACTTGGCTTTAACTAGATAAGAAGAGCAAATATATTTTTCATCATTATTGTTTCTGTGCTATAAAGGCATGCATTAAATAAGATAGAAGCTTCTATGTGTGCAAATGTGATAGCAGCCATTACATATAATCTTGCCATAAGCATTAATGTTTCCTTTTCTTTAGAGGTCTGTTTCTCACCTTGGAAGCTGTCACGGTTTATGTCAGTGGCCCCCAGGCCTCATGCATTTGCATTGTGCATTTTTGATTGGTTCATTGTCTAGCACTTGGATTAGGGTGTGAGTGCCTAGGGGTGGAGCCAGCATGTAATATAATGGCAGGAAGAAGGTGCGTCTCTCGTTCTTTTGCTGGTTTTTGCCTTGCTGTTTGCAGCCACCATGAGCTGCCATGAGCTGCGGCTCTGCCACCCTGCCTTGGAGCCAACTGAGTATGGACTGAAACCTCCAAAAACTGTAAGAAACACCACTGAGCCCACTAAGGCCAAAGTTTAGTATCTGGTCTAACTTTTAGTTTCTGAAAAAGTGAAAGATCTAGAAGATGGTTTTAGATTACATACATTTTACAGTTTTGTCATGACATGAAAGAAATATTTTCTAATGGAAAAGAATAAATCAAAAATATGAATGAAACTTTTATCATTGTTTAAAGATCTATGGAACTACAGTGGTGGTAAAATGAGTCTGTATACAAGGTAAACTACGCAAATCTGCATATAAAGGAGAAAATTTTCATCTGAAAAGTGTGTGATTCGTGTTATTTTCTACTCATCACATTTCTCTTCCTAGGAACCCTATCAGAAGTATATATAGCATTTATTTAGGGTGATCTAAGGCATACTCCCCCCCCCCCCCACCAGGGCTAAAGCAGATAAGCTATTGGCTGATTCTCGTGACCGTTTCATCCCAGCGGGCTGCCTACCGGTACACTGTTAAACTATGAAATCCTGTTGCAGTCACGGCTGCTGAAAAAATAAACTTAATGGAAGAGAGAGCTTCTCTATAAAATATGAGCCTCCACATTGTTTTATATGTATACTGTGTGCTCTCCACAAATGTTTTGACGAATATCTACAAACTTCATGCTTGGATGCTTCCAGCGTTTGCCAATCTCTAGAGGACTGTGGTACCTTAGTTTGGAAGCAGTGGTATTCTGTGTTTTTAATGGGAAGGAAACACTAAAATACTGTTTATGAAACTTTTAAAATTTTGTTTAGTTTCAAAGAGATAGAAATCATAGTTGAATATAACAATCATATGTAAAATATATTTAAAGCCTCCTAAATGTGTCCTTCAACTTCATAGGGCAGAAAATTCAAGAATTATGTTTTTTCTTTCTTTACAGATTTATTACACAGTAGGCTTCAATTCATTAATATAAAATATAGATTCAGGAAAATATACTTTTATAAATCATAGAAGAGATCAGACTATTTGTAAACTGAGACAGGTATCTGAGGAGAGAAATAAAGATTTGATGAAATGGATCACAGTCTTAGAGGAGAGAAATAACACAAACATGAGATTTGGGTGTTAAAATAACTGAACCTGGTTGAAGAAGGCCCCTTAAATTCATAAAGTTGCTTTTTCTTTTCAAAGACCCTTTCATTCAAACTCTCTTAAGTAACATTTATATACTGGTAATATAGTCTTTTAAATTATTTTTATATTAATGCAGTAAAAGTAGACATTAATAAAGAAAATATTAAAACCATTTTTGTTTCAATGAAAAAATAAAATTTCATAACAAAATAAATAGTGAATAACAATTAATATATTGTGTATCGTGACCTTAAAAATGATCAAAATGTTACTTAAAGTAGAAGTCAAAGAAAAAAGACAACTCTCATTTACAAAGAAGACACAAATATTTTTTTGAAATGTATTTTAAGATATTTTTGAATTTGTTTCATTGTATTTCTGCTTTCTTTTTGTTCATTGGTAAAGTTGCTTTTTAAATGCCATGAACATATACTTCCTATTATAATCTTATAAGTTTGCTAAATTAGACTGTTATGACTTTCATAGGTGTATAATTTGAGAAATGCGTTGTGTTTACTTCTCTGGAATCCTATGTTCATGCTTTTTGTTTATATTGTTGACAAAAGGAGTAGAAATTAGCCAGAAAACAAAAAGCAAGTACTAAACATTGGTTGGTTAGTTGACATTTGTTTTCAAATTTCCAAATTATTCACCAGAAATAACTGCAGGTTGGGGGAAGAAGTGTCTTTACTGACCAGTTGTAGAGCAGCAGTTATTTCTTAAAGTACAGAGAAATGGGAGAGCAGCGTCCACGTCTCGGTTCACTGTCCTTTGGGTGAGCACCACATCATATGCAGGGTTCTATGTCTGCACTGGCTCTTCTTGTCATTGATAGAAGAAGCTTCCCAACAGTAGCTCCTTGACCACTGCTTGAGCGTCATCCTACAGTACTGATGGGTGTCTGTGTCCTGAGTTTTGTCAGCTCTGATAAAATTTTTCCTTTTGCATCGTGTCCTTTGGCACCTAAGTGAGGTCATTGGCAGCTTCAGTGAACACTTAAATTTCAGTGGTTGGAAAGTGGTGACAACTCAGCTGCCTTACACAGTTACATACTGAGGATGCATTCAGTCCTCCCGAGAAGGGAAGCATAAAGGTGGTTAGATAGCATAATCCAATTTTCAGTCTTTTCAAGGCTTTTTATTGACTACTAAACTCAGTGTTCAAATTCTAATAAGTGATACCATTAAACCTATAAACTGGGTTTTGGAGACTTGAGACATATAGAGATCCAAAAAATAGTACAAAGTTATAGGTTCAAAACTTGGTAACATCTTGACTGTTTGTTTACAAAGAGAAATTATAACAAATCACAACATTTTAAAATATTAAAAATACAAACTCAGAACATCTGGAAAAGATAATATTTTTTTTCAGAATCAACAGCTCCAAACATGTCTATATTTTTGGCTATGGCACTTTGATCACTTCTTTATATGACAACTGTTTATAATATTTTTGAAACAAATTCAGAGAAAAAAAATTTATTTTTTCTAGCATGGTGAATTATTCCTAAAAAATTAACCATATAAATATTCAACTAAAATCAAATTTAAAAGAAATTCACATTCTTTACAGTTTGTAAAAGTTTGTTTTGGCTTCAGAGTCATCATGGATAACATCCTGAATATTTAAAAATTGTGGTTCTATTTAGAAACTGTGGTTGCAAAGAGAAAACAATGTGGTATATTTTTAATACAATCCTTATCCAAAATATTTGTTTTTGATATTTGCGATACAGATTTTGTACTTTCTAAGAGCAGGATTTCTGATTAATTGTACTGTGTGCAAACCTCATTAGAAAAGACTAATAATATCTGATAAAAGTATAACATATACTGTATTTTCAGTAGTTTTCATTTTGAACAGACACTGATAAAAACCTAATACATTTGTAGTCTACCCACATCATCCTTTGAAGAATTTTATTTCTACTTACTGTGCATCTATACATTTTCATGTTGTTTTTCTCCCACTGTTCACATACTCCATGTGCCAGCCTTCACAGGACACATTCATTTTGCAGCAGCAATTCTAGACCTGCATGTTAGTGTCATGGTGCCAGGCACATCAGCACAATAGGAGGCAGAAATATTTCTGGATCTCGGCCCTGCTTGTGAAGAGAAAGCAATAATCTAACCATACGTTCAAGTGACTGTAGAAGACATAAATACACACTTCTGAAATCAATTATCTTCATACCAGTAATGTACTACTATGTAAAAAAAAAAAACCCACATTGTAGTGAATTAAAACATTAACCTTTTTGTTGCCTAGTTCTTGTGTTTAGGAATTTGGGGCTCTGTGGACGTGATTTGTCTCAGCTCCACATTGTGTCAACAGGGATAGCCTGACTGGGGCATGGAGATCAAAGGTGGTCTCACTCTCATATCTGAGGCTTTGCAGCTGTTATCTGGATTTCTTGCAAGTGGCTTCTCTTGACACCTTAGCCCATTCAAAGTGACTTTCCCCTTTACCTTCCTTCTGTCTCTTCAAACTAAGAATCTTCTATCTCTTTATAGAGAAGGTGAATTCCAAGATTGAACGTAGAGGCTATAGATATTCTTTGTGTTGAGTTTTAAACTTTACTTCTATAGCACTCTTTTGTTGGAAGCTAATCATGAGACCAACCCAAATTAAGAGATGGAAAAATAAACCCCACTCATTGATGAGGGTATTATAGAGTTACATTTCAAAAAGGTCTAGACAAAGGCAAGAAATGATATATGGTAGATTATGCTTAGCAGTACACACAATGACCTACTTAAATTCCTTTTAGTTGGGTCAGAAGTATCTACAACCACTACAACGTCACCAGACGTTAAGTGGTATGACCAAGAGTAAAGGGACATTTGTCTTAAACAGTGTTCCTTGTTTTTGAAGGTATAAAAATGATCATAATACATAGTTTCAGGTGAGATAAGAATCTGGAGCAGGATCCCTGTGTCGACCACATGAGCATCAATCTTTACCTAGTTGTGAACACCACCCTTGCAACTAGACTAAGATTGACTGATTCTGTTTCTCCTTCTTACCCTAGATCTAATCAATGTTGCAAGCAGTATTGGGTAAACCTTTAAAAATATACCTGAAATTCAACAATTTTTGGTGTTTCAGTACCAACATGTTACTCCAAGACCCCAATATCTTTTTCCAGGACTTTTATAACAGATTCCACTGTGATCTGTCTGATTTGAATTCTGGCTCTTCATTTTTGCAGTGAATCTACTCCATAGGAACATTATGACTTTTTTCCTTTGGTCAACTTCAATTAATTTTTAAAGTTACCTTATACTGATCTGTTACTGGCTACCAGGTTCTGTATGTATTTTTCCTCTTGCTCACTGTGCTCCAATTGTGTTTCCTTAGTCAGCAGTGGCGTGTAAGATCATTAAGGATTGAGATTTTTGTTCATCATTTTATCCCTTAACCTTGTCTGGAGCAAAGTAGAGACATACTGAGTGTTTGTTAATAGGAAGACATCACATAATTAATTTATAAAAACGAATTATGTACAGAACATTTAGGTAAAGGTATTATTTCCTTTAAGAGAAAAACTTACAAGAAAAGACAAAAAACCATTATTTTAATAGTCTGTTAGAAAACACTCACAAAGGTAATTTTGGGACTTTTTTGAAGAGTAATGAACTGAACCTATATTGTGTTCTTACTTTGTAGAGGAGTAGCATGAAGACTTGAAGGTTGGCTTTGTTCCTGGATCTTTGGTACTTTCTTTTGTAATAGTGAAAGGTTTATAAAGGAATATGCACCACTTGGTATACAGTGATGGACTGTATTGCAGTCTTCAGTTGTTGGTAGTGAGCAATGAGGTGTGAATTCTACAGCAAACACATTGTTTTCCTTTAAAATTGAAATTTATGAGAAAATTCTAAAATAATGTGCTAGTCAATTTTATTTTCTCAATTCTTTCTCAGAAATAAGCAAGGGCGATTTTTTTTTTATACATACAGAGGAGGAATCACAAACCATCTTTTAGGAATCAATATCTCTTTTTCAGTTGGTTAGACACAGGAACCGGAAATACACACTCAGTATCCAGCATCCACAGATCTTCCAGATTTCAGTATTGCGATGGCTTGCGATTTTTTTATTATAGGAACCTAGTAAAAAAAGTGACTTTGTTGTGTTCGGTGACTGGCAAGAATCATTTTTTGTCTCCAGAGGATAGAGCAATTAGTGCCTTGAAAGCAGAAGAGGTGATTCTTGCCAGTCACCAAACCCACTGGTGCCTGGATCT